GCCCGCAGCCACCCGCTCGCCCACCCCGGGCTGGGGTCTCGGCAGCAAAGCGAGCGTACAGCAACGGCCCATCTCCAGCGAGAGGCTTCTGATGGAGACCAGGCAAAGCTGTGAAGAAACAGCTCCGACGGGCACAGGCAAAGCTCCCCGAGAGCTCGCAGGAGCAGCGCCGTGCACCCGGGAGAAGGGGAGCTTCTGTTTTCACTGCTACCCCCACTGTGCCCAATTGCTCTGCACACCCACCTTTTGAGAGCTTTGTTATCAGGAGCTTGAGTCCAAAGCAAACAGTGATTAGATACCGTGAAGCACACTCTACAGACACTAAAACGTATTTAAATAAACTGAATGAACATCCATCGAATATTAACAGACCTCGTTTTGCCATTAACGGATAGCAAGGTTGTCAACATGTTATTCGTGGGTCCTCAGACGCTACTTGACCTTCTTGCCCAGTTTAAACAAAGCCTGGAGAAGGTTACAGAAGCTCTGCTGGCGCAGAGGCTGCCCCGGCCCCGCAGCATCCCGCTCTCCACAGCCAGCGCGGTGCCAACGTGCCAGCCAGAGCCATCTGCACCAGAGGCTCCAACCTGATGCCCCCAGCAGCCAGGAAGGAGCCACAGCCCCAGTCCCATGAGAGGTGGCAGCAGCACCGGGGGCTTCCACATCACCCCAAGCCCCGCACACTTCCCCACAGAGCGCTCAGCACTTTGCAAAACCTGTACCTTGAACTCAGCAAACGTGATGCCCCTGGACAGAGTTGAAAGGCAGCAGTGCCTTTCCTCCGGGAAATCCAGCCCAGACCAGCAGGCTCCAAGGGCAGCTGGCAGAAACTGCCAGGCTGGGCAGTGCCATGTACCCTGGTGACAACTGCCCCCCACTTGTTTAATTAAAAGAAAAAAAAAGAAGAATTGACACCCACTCCTGTTTTAGAGATTCACATGAAGCACTTCTGACTAAACATTTGCTGATCTAGTTTGATTATTCATGCTGTGGAAAAAAAAGTGTAAGTAATGGAACCAGAGTCCTCCCTAATCCTAGCGTGGAGCTGAGAAAGGGGCGTTTGAGATCGTTACCCGCACGTACCCCGATGGTGACTGCCCGGGGCGGCTGCGTGGGGCTACAGGACGTGCTGCTCCACCACCCCCAGCCCCACCTGGGACAGCAGCTGCCCCAGCCCCGTGTGATACCATCAGCCACGGCGTTCTGCCAGACCATGAGCTACTTTGATCGCCTCCAAGCAAGCGCACGGTTTCCACAGGAAGTGTCCTGAGGGACAGGGAACAGGATGCACACTGCGACTGCTCCAGCACAATTCAGATCCTGCAAAGGGCTTGGGCTCAGGCTGCAGGAGCCCTGGGACGGGTGAGCGGGGCAGTGGCACATCCCCGTGTTCCGGCAGCCAGGGATGTACCCAGGCAGGGCTGGGTTACCCTCAGCATCCCTGCCATCAGCCAGCAGCTCAAGCCCAGCGAGCTGCTGGGATTCACTAGCAACAGTTCGAGGGGAGCAGGAGAGACAAGTCAGGGTGGAGGGAGCGGGACAACCCCCGGACTGGAGTGGGGAGTGCTCAGCCCAGCTGCCAGGCAGTGCTGCCCCAGAGGGACCAGCTCCGAGCTATTAGGAGAAGAGCAGTGGCCCAGATTGAGTCTCATTAAGGCAGTTACATGGTTTACAAGCTTGTTATAACATCGGAGCAGGGAGATGTGCCGGTCGCTTCGCTAGCTGAGCGAGGACAAAGCAGAGCCTGTTCCCCCAAAGGAAAAGCCTCGTGCTTGGCTGGGTGCTGACGTCAGCCCCTTTCCATGCACAAATGCAACGAGGCCGCGGGCAGCGTGCCAGCTGGGGATGGCAGCGGTACAAGCTCTGCTTTGCCTCTGAAGTGGACACAACAGCAGGCTCCCAACGAGCTGCTTTCAGCAGAGCGACCCAGCGCAAAGCTGCGCTCGCAGGCGGGTGCGAGGGCTGGGAGCGCATCGCCCCGCGGGGGCACTCTGCCTGCTCCTCGCCAGTTTAACACAGGCATAAAGCACAGGGCTTGGGGATTAAAAGACTCCAAGAAGCAGTTTCTGAAGGATGAGGGAGGGGAGCTGCTCCAGTTTAAGTAGTTTTGCTTTATTCTGCTCGTGTCTCTGCACTGCCAGCGCACACTGCCACCCCCAAACAGCACGAGCTGCCTGCGGCGCTGCTTGGCACCAGCGAGGAACAGGCAGCACCAGGTCTCAGTGTCCTCCAGAGCACAGCTGAGCCTCGAGCTGACCAGAAACCAGGGACAGATCCCAGCCACTGTTTGCTGCCTTAAAAAAAAAAAAATCCACATCTTATCTAAAAGAAAGAGACCCTGTGAGTGGGGGGTCCTACACGTGGCACAGTGGCTCCCCCGGCCTTCGGGCAGGCGCTGGGAGCAGACACAGCACCCGCAGCACACTGTAACAAGGACAAGGGCAGAATTACACAAGTCATAATTCCCCGGAAAGATTTTACTTACAGCTTTGCAGAGGAGGACAGATTAACCCGGTTTTTGCATTCTGGGCATTAAATAGAACTTTTTGAGCAACCTCCTTCAAGCGAGCTCGCTAAGGGAAGTTTTGCTCTCAAGTAAGGAGAGAAATTGGATTTTTAGCAAAGTTCTGGTGGTCGTTCCTACAGCAGGGTGTGAATCATTAGACCCAGCAGGAGAGTTGCATCCTGTACTGCAACGCAAGAGCACAGGTACTGCTGCCTCCAGTCCACTTACCTCCCGCGTACATAACAGCCAGCATGATGGAGGAGATCCATGAGACTTTGCTGCTGGACGCACTGAAGATGACCTCAATCTCTTTGAAGAACACGGTGATGGATTTGGGGAAGGCATAGGAAAACCCAATGGAGATGAAGGCTCCGATGACCACGGCCCATCCCCATCCTCCCTCAGGAGGAGTGTATCCCACAGGGCCTCCGACGGCCGGTGGCATCTTGAACCAAGTTGGCGATAACTCAGTGGAGGTTCAAAGATCTGCAAAGGACAAAAGTATTGCCTCAGCTGAAAGCAGATGGCTCCATACCCTCTCCCTGGCATGCAATGGCACGGCTCGAGCCCTGCTCGCAAGGCTGGCACGGCACCAGCACCCCGGACCACCTCCAAGAGAGCTGATGCAAGAGGTGAGCACTCAGGGCTCACCCCAAGACTGCCCCAAAACACATGCTCAGATCACGGCTCGCCTTTAAGAATCCTGGCCAGCAGGTATTTATAATCAACAAATTTAGGACATGATGCTCTGTCCTAAGCTGAAAAGGGCAGGCAACATCCTGGCCAGCAGCAGCCAGGGCACAGTGGTGAAGTAGGCAGGGCTAACAGCAGCACCAGGATGGCCCCAAGGAGGGGCAGGGGCCAGTAAAACACCTGCTGCTGTGGCAGAGCCCCTCCCTGCAGCTTCCCTGGCACCGCAGCCCCCCAGCACTGCCCTGGTGCACTGCGAAATCTCAGGAAGCCCAGACCACCCGGAGCAGGAGCAGCACACCCAGGTTATTACACGCAGACACACCAGAGGAAGCCAAGTCAGCCCCCACGCACAAGCCAGTACCCCCCATTTCTGCAATGATGGAGCAGGCAGGCATCACAGCCCACCCACCAGCCCCGAAGGTCAGAGGCTGCAGCTAAACTTAGCCTGAGAGGTGCCCAGGGCAGGGCAGGCTCCTGCGCGGGGCCAGCACTGCCCGGGGAAGGGGAGGTGGGTCTGCCCACAGCAGCCCCAGCTCCCTGGGGGCTCAGCCCCAGGAGGGACACCCCCAACCCTTCCTTCCCTACCAAAAAGGCTACAGCATGTTTCATGAAAGCACTTGAGCATGAAAACAATTCACCTTGGAAGCTCAAAAACCAGAAGGGATTAGAAAACGAAATAAATGGGGAAACATCGTGCAGGCTTGCTGAGGTGTGGGATCCCCTTAGGGAGGCCGAGCAGGGAGAGGCGGATTCGGAGCGATGTGGGGACTGGGAGGGTCAGGGTGCTCCCGCCTTCCCCGTGCTGCAGCTGCTGCAAGGCTGGATCACGCCTGGAGCTGCGGTTGCTCAGAAAATAAGGCTGCTGCAGGCAGAGCAGCACGAGTCATCCCGGGGAGGAAGTGCAACCAGGGCAACTGCTCACAAACACACTTCGCAATATGCAAAGCAACAGGAATCACTACAGTCCCAACTCCTGTGTGCCCCACAGATTTTAGAAGACAACTTCTGACACCCTGCCACCCTCCCCGGCCCCGCAGCCAGACTCCCCCTGCCCATACTAAGGACCATCTGCCAAGGGAGGGGACACCAGGCTCCTTTGCCAGAGCCCACCCTGCGCTCTGCAGTCCTCTGCTCAGGTTTCCACATGAAGGAAAAGGCACCTCGGAGCAGCAGAGCTTTCTCCAGAGCTCCCCAGGTCACACCAGGCACAGCGACAGCTTCAGAGCCACACACGGGCTCTGGGAGGTGCAGCCT